CCCTCACCGGTACAGCCGCTTGGTGTGCAGCACTTTGGCCTCAGGCTCTCCGCTCTCGCTGCCCGTCCCTCCGCCCTGGCTCATGGCGCCCGGCGGGGCCGAGGCCCGGCGCTGCCCTCCGCCCCCTCAGCGGCGCCCGTCCGCCGCCATCGCCGCCAACCGACGGCGGCCGCCGGCCCCGCTCGGCCGCCAGGGCTGCGCCGCTGCCCCCTGCCCCGCGGAGATCTCGCGAGATTACGGGGCACGCCGGGCAAACGCGGCGTCGCCTCGCGAGAACTCCGCTCGCTCCGCGCCATCACTTAGTGCTGGCAACATGGCGGACGCGTCGGGGCTTCGTCTCGCGAGAGTTCCGCGCCAATACTTAGTGCTGGCAAAAATGGCGGCCGCGCCGGCGTCGCTCCGCGAGCGATATGGGCGCGGCCTCCAGGGGACGAGCCGAGGCGCCGGACGCCCGTTCTCGCGGCCGCGTTTCGCCGTGGCGCCGTGCGGCCTCGCCTGCGGCAGCGGCGCTCCGAGGGCCGTGCCGGGAGCCGGGATGCGGCCGCCTGAGGCCTCCCAGCCCCTCGGGCCGCCCGCCGGGGCTCCCCGTTCCCGCAGGCTTCGAGGGAAGGCCCGGCGGGGCGAAACCCCTCAAAAAAAAACGCGGAGCGGGAGAAGCAGCGCCGGCTGCGGCGCTCCGGGCCCGGCGGAGCCGAGGAAGGCCCGGCCCTCGGCCCCTCCCCGCGGGCCCGGCCCCGCCCGGGTGAGGCCGCCGCGCCCGGCCCACCTGTCCGACAGGTTGGAGCTGAGGCGGCTCGGAGCGCTCCGCAGGCCGCGGCCCCGCCGCCCTCAGCTCCGCTCCGTGTGAGTGCCGCGCTCGGCGCCGCCCATCGGAGCTCGGCTCGGGCCCGGCGCCGCTCCGCGCCGTGAGCGCCTCCGGGGGGCGGGGGGGGCGGAACGTGAGCGAACGGGGGGGGATTTTCCTCGTTCCCGTCCCACAGCGCGGGGCGGGCCGGCAGATTGGGACCCCCGGCCCAGAGCGGCGGTTCGCGTTCGTGCCTCGGCGCCGCGGCTCCTCCCGCCCCGGAACCCCCCTGGCCGCCGAAGGCAGCAGCCCGACCCCCCAGCCCGGCCCAACTCCGGCTTCGTGCTGCGGGCCTCCCGCGCGCCCATCCCTACCGATGTCCCCGCTGCCGCTGGGCGTGGAGCCGCACGGCCCCCCGTCGCCCTGACACCCTGGGGCATTTCGGCGGGGCGGGGGCAGTTCCTCGGCCGTCCCTGTTTGGCAGCGCGGCGGGTGGGGGCTCCTTGTTGGCGCCTGGCCGTGCGCGTGACCCCAAGCCTCTCATTTCTGTCGTCTTTTTGCCTGTCCCCGTTCTTCTTGCACAGGGTGAAGCCAGCGGGGATGGGAGCCTAATCTTGTCCCGACACCCCGAGATACGGGAGAGCTGCTTCCCGACGCCTGGCAGCACTGAGCCCGCCGCCCCATGGCTGCTGCCGACCCCACGCTGCCCCTGGAAGAGGTGGCTCTGCTGGAGTTGGGGAAGGCGGCCTCCCCCGATGAGGATCCTCTGGCCCCAGATGACCATCGTGGGGATCCTGATGCCACCCTGCTGTGGGACCAGCGCCAGCACGGCGCATGGGGGCAGCCGGAACCCACAGAAACCAAAAGGCGCTCGAGCCCTGAGGGGGCCCGTGATGACCCTGAAGAGGGAACTCCTGCCTGCCCCCCCCCTGAGGCTGATGGGGAGGAAGATCCCGGGCTTCCCGTGATGGCACCGCACGTCTGTGTGCCCATTGACCTCCACTGCATCGAGCGGACACCCGAGGAGCGGAAGAAGCAGCAGCCCACCCCGCAGCCCCGGGAGGAGGGCAGGGGGGGCTGCGTTCCCCCCAGGGACGGACCCAACAGCATCCTCCCAAAGCAGGCACTCCTCCCTGCTGGCCCCTCGCCTTCCCGGGTCCCGCTGGTCTTTGAGGGGCAAGCAGCCAAGCTGCCAGCCGAGGGGCTGCAGTGCCCCTGTGCTGGGGTCTGCAGCACCGCCGCCCTCAAGGCTGTGGCCTCGGTGGTGGGGGCTCTGTTCCTCTGCCCCTGCCTCATTTATGGTGCCTACGTCTTCCTGCCCTTCGACGCACCGCTCCTGCCCACCATCAGCACACGGCTGGTGTACACACTGCGCTGCGCTGCCTTCGCCACCGTCCCCATCGTCCTGGGTGAGCTGCTGGGCCCGAGTGCTGCGGGGTGGGGGTCACCCCAGGGGGCAGCGGGCAGAGCCGGGGCTGAGCTCTTCGCAGCCGCCCTCCTCCCGCCCTGCTGCGTCCCACCAGCACACCTCTCTCTTCCCCCCCCCCCAGGGATGATCGTCAGCGGCATCTCACGCCTCTGCTCCTCAGCACTGGAGCCCTTTGGAAAGCTGCAGCGGGAGGTGGAGATCCATCGGACCTACGTCTCCCAGTCTGTCCACCTCTTCATCCTCTACTTTTTCAACATGGCCGTGCTGGCCACGTACCTCCAGCAGGAGCTCCTCAAGCTCATCCCCCTCCTCACGGGCCTCTTTGCCATCTCCCGGTAAGCAGTTCCTTCCCCCCATCTCTGGCTCACAGATGGCTGCTTGGTTTGTGCTGCTCCAGCAGGACCTCACCGGGCCCACACTGGGGAAGGGCTGCTTTGTCCTCGCCCCATCCTGCTCCTCACAGCAGGCTGTCATTGGGCCCAGCACCCCGAGCAGGGTTGAGCCCCCTGGTCTCCACCCGCAGGCTGACCTACTGGCTGTCCTACGCCTTCGGGCGCTCCTTCCGTGCCTTCGGCTTTGCCATGACCTTCCTGCCCCTCCTGGCCATGCTGCTCTGGAACCTGTACAACATGTTTGTCCTGGAGCCTGAGAACCTCCTGGCCGTGGCGACAGCGAAGCCCGAGGAGAGCTCCCGGCAGAGCAGACTGCGGTACTGGGGCTGAGCAGCTGCGGGGGGCTGAGCCCTCCGTGCCAGCCCTGGGGTGGGTGGGGGGCAGATCCCAGGGCTGCACTTCTTCCTTGGGACTCCCAGCACACCTCACATGAGGTGGGGAGCAGAAGGACCGTTGACTTCAGGACGAGGGGGGCAGGCGCTGCCAGACCTCCTCCTGGGACTAATAAAGCCCTTTAGCTGAACGGCTCCGTGGCTGTTTTGGGGATGGGGTTAGATTCTCCCGGCCCTTGGTGGTTGCGCAGCCAACGTCACCCAGCGTCCCTCCTCCACTCCTTCCTGCTGGCCGAGGTTCAGCACGGCCTCACAAACCGGTCTGCCGGGTGCCCTGCCCCGGGGAGCGGCACAACGGCCGCAGGTTTGGGGCTGCTGTGCTGGGACAAGTCGGCGTCTGGCCACACCGGGGCAGCCTGCAGCGCTCTGCACAGAGCTCCTCCAGCTGGGCTGCCGCGGCCGGCCCTCACACACAGCCCCGCTTTCACATCCCTCACGTAAAGGCAGAGCCCCTCAGCCCCGACCTGCCCCACGTCCCACGGGGAGACACTGCATGGAAGGTGAACAGGAACGGCCTGATGGAGCGTGGGTTTGGGCTGCACCAAGAGCTGCTCCGGAATTCCCACGGCGCAGCGCTGCCCCGGGAAGCTGCTCTTAGAAATCCCTTTTATTTGGTCAAAGATGAGTCAGTGGTTGAGGACACGGAAGTGTGGCAGCACTGCCACCAACCATCACTGCAAGTGGAAGGGCAGCAGCTCCTGCTGTGACCCAGGGTCTCTTGATGTCTCCATCAGGACAGTCCTGAGCTGACTCCTGTAGCAGCAGCCTTAGCGAAGGCAGGCAGCACGAGGTGCCCGCCCACAGGAGGAGGATGACGGGGATCACCCGGACCCACTGCCCCGTCAGCCCCTGGCAGTTGTGCATCAGAAAGAAAGGAAGCACCGTCGTCAGCGCAGGCAGCAGGACAGAGCGTGGCACGGCAGCATGGCGGCGGGCCCAGTGCCCACCTTGCCCCGTGCCCCCCGAGAAGTGAAGATGGCAGCAGCCGTGATCGCTCCCCGGGACGAGCAGCACCGCTCAGTTGATGGGCTCGTACTCGCTGTAGCGTCTCCTCCTGGCGCAGAGCAGCACGGCAGCACCCAGCAGGAGCAGAAGCAGCGGAGCGCCCAGCGCTGCGGCCACGATGGAGATGATGAGGGGAGAAAAAGTGTCCTCAGGTGGCGGCCCGAAGCCCAGCAGTGCAGACCTGCAGCAGGGAGCGAGACGTGTGAGCCGCACAGAGCTCCGTGTAAGGGTGTGTAGTGACAGGACAAGGGGGAATGGTTTAGAACTACAAGAGGGGAGATCGAGAACAGGTGTTAGGAAGGGATTCTTCACTGTGAGGGTGAGGAGATGCTGGGACGGGTCACCAGGGGGGCTGTGGGTGTCCCCTCCCCGGGCTGACGGGGCTCTGAGCAGCCCGGCGCGCTGGGAGGCGGCCCTGCAGCGAGGTGATCTACGGGGTCCTTCCCAACCCAAACTGCGCTGCGATTCAGCGGCAGTTCCCTCTGCGGCTTTTAGGCTTTCATGACAGGAAGCTGCACTGAGCGGGAGGGGCCTGAGGGAAGGGAAACAGCTCAAACCTCCCCACTGCCCAGGCAGGAAAACACGCACAGCCACGGGGCTGCGAGCACAGAGCGCCCCGCCGCGCAGAGCCCCGCTCACCAGCTCAGGTAGCGCTTCTCCCGGTAGGCGCCGCCGTCCTCCCCGCCGAAGGAGACGTTGATGGCGCTGACGCCGTAGGCGCTGCCCGCTCCATCCCCAAAGTAGGCGCGGACGACGGCGGAGCGGGGCCGGGCCCCGCCGGCAGCACGCAGCCCTCCTGCGTGGCACTGGATGCCGTCCCCGCGCGTTGGGTGCTGCGAGCCGTACGCCGTCGCCTTCCACTGCAGGAAGCTGAGCGCAGAGCTGTCGTTCTGCGACTCCGCTACCAGGGAGAGCGTCTGGGGAAGGGAAGTGTAAGGTTAACACAGCGCGTGCGTGGCACCCAGGGGACCAGCCCAGCCAGCACGGGGTCACGAAAGGCGGGTCGTGCTTGACCAACCTCATCTCCTTCTACGACTGGGTGACCAGACTGGTAGATGAGGGAAAGGCTGTCAACCTAGATTTCAGCAAAGCCTTTGACACGGTCTCCCACAGGATTCTCCTGGGGAAACTGGCTGCCCATGGCCCGGACAGGTTTACCCTTCTTTGGGTAAGGAAATGGCTGAGGGCCATGCCCGACGTGTAGGGGTTAACGGAGTTAATTTGCCTGGCGACCCATTTCAAGTGGTGTCCCTCAGGGTCGGTACTGGGGCCCATCTTGTTTAATATCTTTATTGATGACCTAGATGAGGGCATTGAGTGCACCCTCAGTA